GAGGAATCGCTTCCGGTGGCGGCACTTCGAGAAAAGTTCACACCGCTTGTTCAATAGTTTTGTCTTATCACCTTTCAGGATATGCAATTTTTCCTGGAGACAAAGATCACAGTTTTTTGCGCCGCTGCGATAGGAAGGTGTTTGTTTCACGCGTATAATTCAAACATAAGTCCAACGTCATCATACGGAAGATTCATTCATTGTAACACCGTCACCTGATGATCGCACTCAGCGTGAAACTCAGAGTTGTGACTCAATTTTAAGTTAAAGTACTATATATATATATATATATATATATATATATATATATATATATATATATATATATATATATATATATATATATATATATATATATATATATATATATATATATATATATAGTTGAGTGGGTTGAAGTGCAAGGAAGGGTGGACTCCTCTCGTTTACTAAATGAAAATATTTTCATAAGGATTTCAATCAGGTCGTATTATCTCGCCTAAGAAATAACATACCCGTAGGAATTCACACCAAAGGTCTAGAAATTTAAATTTTCCTCTTAGGACAATATTCCAATAAGCTATAGCCATTTCAAGTTCTAAAAGATGATACCAAAAAAGTTTGTTTGAAAAAGCAATATCATTGCAGTGACAGTTCAATGCTGTTCAACATATATAGTGATTCTATAGACTATAGGCAGCCTAGACCTAGGCCTAAACTCGGCTGGTGATTATCGCAATGGTCATTTGCCTCGTAAAGGCCTAGTAGATTTCACAAGTTCTCAAATTAGCCCCATAATTTTGTGATCCGAAATTGATCAAAAACCAACAACTAAAGCAATTTATACTGTCCAGTAGTTATTACATTAACTATAAAAACATTTTATGACTAAACTAAGTTCATTTTGTAGTAATATTTTGACTCATTTTGACCTTTCGCAACATAATATAAATAGTGTAGCTTCGAACTTTATGATAAAAAAACGTTTTTCTAGGCGTGTATACAAATAAAAATAGTACGTTTATACTATAAATGAGTTTATTTTACCTGTATCGGTTTAAATTCGCTGTTAAGTTGCAAATAATTCTGTTTGAGAACGCAATAATTGGGCATTTCGCAACCAGGGCAGTTTCAGCCTTGTTGTTGGGAAATCCACTAGGCCTTCTATTTTTTCGCTTGCGTCATCCTCCGCCCCGCCCCCAAATCACCTAGTCCCAGTCTTTTCATGTGAAAAAGCGCTGAATATTAAAAAAATAATAAAAATAGAAGGCCTAGGTCTAGGCTGGACTATAGGTAAATGGATTGTTAGAACTAAATGTTGGAGGGTTTTTGTAGAAGTTATTAAGTGAGATGCCCAAAATTCTGATATTTAGTAATGCACCTTACACTTTAAAGGGCATATGATTCGAAAATCGACGTTGTTATTTTTTTAGTCTAATTTGAAAGATCATTGAAAACTGTAGAGTAACTTTTTCGATAGATTTTTGTTTTCTTGCTTCGTTTTGAAGATATTTCATTTTGTATGATATGCAAAGGACCAACTTCCTACGTCACATATGCATGATGATTTAACCCTAAAAACTGTATATCTTTAATACCAGCAAAGACAATCAGAAGAAAACCTACATGGGTGTCGTTGTTGACAAATCTCGTGCTCATCATTCATTTTGAGCGAATATATTTGATAGTGACAAATTATGTAACATTTTAAAGTAAGTCATTATGCATGTGTGACGTAGAAAGTTGGTGCTTTGCATATCATACAAAATGAAATATCTCCAAAACGAAGCAAGAAAACAAAAATCTGTCAAAGAAGTTACTCTACAGTTTTCAATGATCTTTCATATTAGATAAAAAAATAACAACGTCAATTTTCAAGTCATATGCCCTTTAAAAAGTGCTGCACCAGAATCGCAGGGCCGCTGGTTCGATTCCTGCCAAAGGGCCTATATATCTTTCACATTAGATAAAAAATAACAACGTTTAGTTTAATTTAGTTTAAAAATGTAAAATTTACACTCGAGATTTCCTTCCACACAAATCCTCCAACAGTTAGTTTTATATAAAGTTCTTAAATGCTGGTTTCCAGTGTAGATAGCAATGATCAAACCACCTGAACAAATATAACAACAACTTGCGAAGGCCTTCGTCAGCAAGTTAGTAAAAAGGTTACGGTGCGGGAACGAGATGACGACGGCTAGTAATACAATGAGAAAAGAAATAAATATCCCATGGGAGTTTGAGACGTCATCCACGGTCTGTTTACAACGGGAAGCTACAAACGTCTTGGATAAAACGCCTGCCTTTCAAGACGCGAGAAGATATACTCAGCAAATTAGCTCAGTATTACAGTTGAACTTTCTCAACAAGAAAGCCACTATGAAACAGTATTAAATTGATACGATCAACACTAGTCCACAAACGTTCTTTACAATCGTTTATTTGAATGATTTTATTCTGGCCGTCGTCGCGTTGTCGTCCTGTATGGTAAGGTCTCCAGCAGCTTGGGTCGAAAAACAACAAATGATACTAACTTCCAGACAAAGGCCCTTCGTCGTCGACGTTTGTGTTATATTTTCCAGATATAGTTTCCTGTGATCCCTCATGCAGTTATATTTATACGCCATTTACACTGCGGTCAACTGTTGGTACAAAAGGTCCTTAATGTCACTTGCCAATAAAACATAAGGGAAAATATGGGTAGTCAATTCAACCCCTTTCAGTGTATAGCGTAAACGGGACTAGCAAAACAGAGAAGGCGTATATAACATCACAATGTTATATACAGATATGCAAACACCTTACCAAGATTCTTTTGACCAGGATTTTTTGCGAAGTTAAAGGTGAACTGATAAAATTCTTTAAACTTGTGAGTATCAGATATTTCATTTTCTATTAAGGACAATCTACTTCTTAATCGGTCTATTGAGTCACATCTAAAAACAGACAAAAACAACGTGATACTGCATGAGCAGTTTTGTAGAGCATTTTCTATCAGATCTACGACCTCTTCCTTTGGCTTTGTCATTATGATTTTCTTAGTTTGTGTTTTTCATCAATTATTAATAAAATCACAACAATTTAACTAAAGAATATCTTTAAAAATGACATACTGTACTGTTCGAAAACGGTTTGTACGTGTTTTATCTATTTTTCTTGCAGTTTTCAGCAGTGTAGGAATAATAACTAGCGATGTCCATGTAGGTTACTACACTTCTAAACGCAGCAAGCTATATACAATCGTTCCTGCATGAATCAGCACGAGTTGTTCCACAATTCTGCAGAGCTTGTCGTAGACTGGATTTCCCGCATTGGCATTGGTGTAGGGGAGGAAAAAATAGGGGGACGGCGAAAAATTTGCCCCACGTTCGCGATATTGCCCACCTAACATTTTTTGTTGTTGTTATAGCCACAAAATTCCAGTTGGGAGGGGGGGGGGGGGAGGGCAAACGATTTTTGAAACATGCATTCATATATTACGAAAACGAATCATATATATCTAGTTTGTTTTTAAGTACAATTGCCCAATTTTTAAATACATACTGCCCGAAAATAGTATGCCTATGCCTATGCGTATTTGATGTACTGCATGTAATATTTTTGAAAGTCATCAAATGAGCATCCATGTAGTTCAGTAAAGCTGGTAGGTTAAAACGGAGATCTTAGGCTCGATCCCAGGTTGGATAGTACTGTACATATATTATAACATGAATTCTGTTTAACAAATAAACAAATTAAAAAGTATAGGAATTTTCAGCTTTCTACTTACCCTATTTCAGTCATACCGTCCGTAAACTCTTTTCTAGAAAATTCACATTGTGTTGCTGCTTTGAATTTCCAAGCAATTAACAGTACTTTTATACTAATAGGATCTAAATTTAAATCTTCACAAAATCTGCCAACACCCTCTGCCATGATCTTGTCTTCATCTCCGGGTTCTACAAAGCATTGTAAAGTGTTTCGTGGTCAACTAAGCCGCAATTCGAATGCAGTGGCTGACACAACTGGAAGGGGAGGAGGTAGCGAAGAGTGTCCCTCTGTGAAAGATAGCTAATTGACTAAGTTGTAACGACGTTTCTTTCAATAGACGGCCAAGTGGAATGATTTTCATTGATTTACATTTTTTTTTAACATCAGTATAATTTATAGTAGTTTTTAAATCACAGGGCCCCTATGGAAGCCATGTGCCGAATGGGCTACCCTGTTAAAATATAGTTTTACCACACCATACCATACCATTCCATTCCATACCTAGCCGATTTTGAGTTTATTAACCATCAAAACTGAAGAAAATGAGCATTGTAAAATTCTTCAATTATTTTAAGTAAACTCAAAAGTCATCTTGTCAAAGTTTGATGATTTACCTTAAACCCACCAAATGTAATCACATCCGCTCTCGCGTAGTAATCTCATTAATATGTACGTATCAGATATATTCTTGGATCGATCCTCAATACTTTCAGAGGATTAAAATGTACAAATCTTTTACTATGTTCAAAATTTTATCAAAGAATCAGAACGCTTCCATACCCTCACATTTGAATCTGTTTGCCAGATACCTTACTTAGTTTTTGTTTGTGATTCGTTTTTATGTGTCTGACAGAATTGTGTGACACTGTGCATTTTTATTGTATAATAATATGTATAAAGTGAAGTGAACCATCTACCGTATAGATGAGCCGTAGAGCTCTTGTGGCAAACGTCGTCAATTAAATATTTATTAAACAATAAAGTTGTCATTAAATCTTTTGCGTTAACTCTACACTTAACATTGTATGTACAGCTAAATAGCCAAAATTGAGGTATTGCATAATTTGTATTAAATTATCTGTTCATTCAATTACTATAGGAATTTTTTTCAACATTTTCAGTTCCTATGGCTATAGGAATTCCTACAGGAATTTTCATTTGATAACACTCATGGCCATTGCTGTTTAATGTGAAGCAAAAATGATTTTCAAAAACTATTTTTTCAAACCTACCTAGTATGTACCTATACCTAAATCGGAATTATGAAACTGATGTTAGAAGTTACAGCCAGACAGAAATCCAGCCAGAACTTGAAAAATTAAATCTGGACATGCAAAATGCAACAATTTTGACACATAAAATTGTCTGGCATTTTAGACATAGTAAAATAATAAATAATTAAGTATGGTAGGGCACATTATGGCACAATGCAAATTGATGGGTGAACTACTAGACACATCAATGGAGGATAGTCTGATCAGCCAAATATACTGAGCACCAGCTCTCTTGACGTCATGAATAAAATCATTTGATGGTGCATTTCACAGAGTATAAAGAATATTAATAAAGTAAGGTGCATTAGCTAGCTGAGGCACAATGCAACTTAACAGCTGGTTTAAACATGATTTATTGTAAGTTATGAATTAAATACTTGGTGATCATGAGCAAAAAAACAGCATATTCTATCTAATAAATTGAAAGCTTCAAAATGATAGAGATGCAACTACCTGGAAATACAAAGAGAACTTCCTTGTATTCCTTCTGGTAGTATCTGCAGTTGCCACCATTTTTATCTGCAGGGCTGTGAGTACTCATTACAATTGTAACATCTTTGTAATGTTTGACATGTAATAACTGAGAAAAAATATAAAAAAACCATCAAAATGAAAAAAAAAGGTTCTAAGTACGTTTTCATCTCATCTCCATCAATGCTTCTACCATACCTTAAAGTTTTGTTATTTTGATTTAAAATTTTCTCTTCGAATCAGTGGCAATTTTGGTTAGCAATTATTGAAATAATACCTAATTTCCATCATTCAACCATGCTTATTTTTACTTGAGAAATATGTTTGGCACAAGATTCACATTATTAATATTAAGTAAGAGTTAAGCTGAATTACGAGGGACACAGCTTAACCTGATCGAGTCAAAGGCTTTCTTAGGATGCCTATGGCAGCCATCTTATAACTCATGTCTGATCACACAGCACAGCTACGATGGAAAGGTGAGTTAGGGGGACATTCCCAACCCACCCTGTCAACATTCCCTGTGGGAGGAAACTGGAGTATAGCCAGAGAAAACCCACGACTTTCGAGCATTGACGGACTCTTTTCACATAAGTGTCATGCATGAGTCCATAGTGAGAATCGAACCCAGTGGTTATATTACTACCTTAAAAAATAAGCAGATCTGCTTATTTTTTAAGGTAGTAATATAACCACTCAGCACAGCATTTTCACATTGGTACTACCTACACTGGTACAGACAGTTTTAGAATTGAAGCCACAATCTCTGGGGAGAAAGGCACTTGCTCTGACAATCGCACTACTGAAGCTCTATAATATTATGGAATCTCTAATTAATTACATTCTTGCAAGGTAATTCTGTAAATGTGATTATTTATAAAAAAATGTATTTGTAATTGGAATTAATTACCTTTTGCAGCAAGTTATTGTAATTGTAATTAATTTGTTTTTCATGAGTAAATTTGCAGCTCTGTATATATCTGTTCCTGTTATGATCATGATCAATGGATGATTATATCCATTCAATACATGGAATATTGGCTAAATTATAGTCCAACCATTAAGCAGACACCATGTCTTTAGCAGACTATATGTAAAGTATCATCTGAACCATAAATAAAATTTTACATAAAATTTTATTGATAGAGTATATAGAAACCTCTACTGAGTGAATGCACACACATAAACAGGGACAGAAAGGCACAAAAAATCTCTGTTCAACGGATAGAACTTCTTTATTTTTTCAACATTTCACTAGAAGTTAGGGTTTGATTTGCAGACGTAACAGAAGTCATGTTCACCAGTACAGATAATATTCAGTATGAAGTATGATTCGCTAAGGGTGTCCATTTAATATAGGTTGACTCGTGTCATGATACTACAATTTGCAATGCAGCAGCATTAGGATCAACTGTAAAATTGTCATCAAGGTGAACAAGATCTTTTCAGCACATACACATTTATGGAACATTTATATATGCATTCATGTACATTGGTTAATATTTAACTTGATAATTGGCACTTTCAGCCTATCATAATTATAATGTGAAAGTAAACTATTGCATATTAAAGTAGAAAATATAAATGCTATGCTGCTAAATATTAAGTAGTATTTTCTACAACATATACAAATGTACATAGAAAAGTCAATCACAATAAATAATTCAAATTGATGTCACACAAATATAAATTACAAGGACAAAATACTAAGTACCTTTGTATCGCTCAAACAAATGCTGTAATTTTTTCTTATCAACTGTTGTCTTTGACTCCTTCATGTATCGATGAGGATGTTGGAAAAACTGATCTGAGGCGACATCCAACCTCCAATCATGTTGACTTAAACAGAAAATTGCTGATTTCTCATCGGTCTGAGTAAAAGCTATAAACTGTCGAACTTTGTC